CTGTCCGATTGCTCATCGAATGATGGATGTACCGGCTTTAGCGTGTTGTCTGCAATCACACCAATAGACAAATGTAAATAATTCGACCACTGTTTTAGCTTTCATCGGTGCCAGTACAGTATTTATCTACTATCTTGACGCACTTTCTGGTCCACCTGGTACCGGTTTAGATTGGTTCCATTCGTTATACTTCTCCTACATGTCATTCACGACTATTGGTCTGGGTGATGTAATGCCAAACAATGCTACGGTAAGATCACATATAAAACAACGGTTATTTGATTTTGATGCATTATGGACGTCAAATTCAAAGTTATTTCGATTTGAAACCTTAGCAATTTGTTTTTTCTAGTTCGTCCCTATAGTTTCCATTATCTTCTTTCTCGGCCTACCCGTCATGAAGATTGTTAACAGAATGACCTATTTAACAATAGAAAATGGCTCATTCGGTGAGTCTTCGACTTTTTTTGATAATCGCAAAAATTATCAAATTAAATTTTTTAGGAATACTCACTGTTATTGAGAACCGCATCAACAACTATTGGGAAAGAAAGCGACCTTCGGCAAGTGGAGTGAGCGAATTTTAAATACTGAAAAAATGCTATTTAAAAACACGACTAAGTATTAGTCAGTACAAGCAAAGTTGCATATTTCAGGTAGAAGTTGGAGTTGGTGAACCTGCGAAAGAAATGGAAGACAATGATGAAGTGAGTCAAGCCTCTCTGCTTAATGAGAATCAAATGTGACTTATAGAAACTTAATCCTCTAAAACATGCGTATGAGGCTACAAATAAATCAAAAGAGATAATATATAAACGGAGAAAAATTTGGTATTCAAATTTACACTATTCAAGGATATCATCACTCCACAATAATTTGCATTTCCCGACATCTCTTGACTTCGCCTGCAAAAATTCAAGCACGTAATTAACCAGCTCTCAAAAAACCTCAATCTATGTATTTTACAAACTAACGCATTTTCAAGGAAATATGGTAGGGATACGGTAGGTGGCTTAACCCTATGACCTCGTAAACGAGTTTTTGACAAACAAAACGTGGATAAATTATCTTTGCATATACTGTACT